ATTAATCAAGTTTTAAATTAGGTGACGATTGTTGTAGGACCTGACTAATCACAGTTCATCTGATTAACCCTTCAGCCCTAGCTGTAAATAATTTGACAATGTGATGTTATTCAACTACAAAGTAAAAAACTGAGCTAATACACCACTGCATAGTTATTTGTTATTCAAAAAGATAAGACAGGTTTCTTGGAAACAGCAGACTTACCCTTGAATACGTTTTTGACTCTGGGCTGTAACTTTGCGATGGTGTGTCCTCAAACACCCGACAAGGAGTGGTGTGATCCTCATCGAGGGACCCGACATCCCCGTACTCGCCGGGACTCCTCACAAAGCCGATTCTATCCACATAGCTGCCAGAAGGCTCAGCACTTTGCCCTGCAGTCTGTGCAGGAACAGATTCCAGGGGTAAAGAGTCACTCTCGGCAGTGGGGCTGGGGACTCTGGTTGAGCTAAGACTGGTTCTCGTCTTGCCAATAGCTGCTATCAACGCCATCCGGCAGATAGCCTTTGACCCCTCCTCCGGTGTCCTCTCTTTCTTCTTCAAGATGAAAGAATGATGTGAAGTTGGCAAAACATGTTGACTTGCTGGAGATTCATCTTGCTGGTGTATTTTTCCTGAAGGTGGACTCTGAGCAAAATAAAAATAAAACGAGTTTGTTTTGTCTTTGTAGTCAGGCTTAAATCAATCTCATCTTCTTTATTAGAAACGCAAACCCAAACATCCAAAACCAAACGATCACAATTAAAAGTCAAGTACAACACAGCAGTGAATAATTACCTTAATAGTTTTAAAAGTCTCTGAATTTTTCCTGGAGCGTTTTCTCAGCTTGGCTTTGCCTGCAGATGGCGCACTTTCACAGAGCGCCTCTGCTTTTCTCTTGGGTGTGTCCAGACTCAGAGCTCCAAGGCGCTCTGACCCTGGAGAGTCACTGAGGGGGAAAGCACCTGACTCTCCATGGCCTGGCTTACTACGGTCAGAAGGAGTATTAGAGGTGGAGTTGCTCTGACCGGCTTCTCTGGGTAGCGTGGCAGATGTCTGTATCCACTGGAAGGACACCTTCTTTCTGGAGCTGTCCATGTCATACAGCAGATCCTAAACAAAGAGGAACAGAGCTTTGAACTTCACGTTCAAAAAGACTTTTTAAAATATTCAGGAACCCTTAGCAATCTCAAATGAATTGGAGGCACATTGGAAGAACTTTTGATTCCATTAAAAAAAATTTTAAAAAAAGAGTAACCACATATTTTAAGATTAAAGATGGCTCAGATAACCTGAGTGAAGTTCAGTTCAGTTCTTGAAATCAGACAAAATTGGTGACAAGCGTTTGTGCAGCAAAATTTTTTCGTTTGAGCCGCTATAATTTTAAAGATATTAAGAAATGTTTCTAGAGGTCATTGAAGGTCAACCAGCCCCCAAACCTCTTCAAATCAGACACAATAGGTGTCAATCAACTCAGCTATGTTTGTGCTGATACATAGCGCAAATGTAAACATAGCACAAATATTTGACACCAATTTAGTTTGATTTGATAAAAGTGGGGGGGCTGGTTGACCTTTTGACCTTTAACATTTCATTAATATCTTCAAAGCCAAAGCAGCACAAACAAAAAAATTTTGCTGCACATAGTGGAGTTGATTGACACCCATGCTCTTTTTCACACATGTGCGTCTTTAATCTGATCTACAATAGTTAAGCTTAAAATCGCACAATATTATTCTACAGCATTAGATGAATATCTAAAACCCGGTTTGTAACTTGTGAAACTTTTATTTGATCTGAGAAAGACTAACAAATGGACTTTTTTTTTTGCTTTTTTTTCAGGATCTGGAGCATATTAGACCTGGTCCAGCTCAGAAACAACTATACTTTGAAAATAAGACTGTTCGGGTAGCTTTTAAACTGAAGCAAATCAAGTAGGTTCTGAATAGATACATGAAAAATGAGGATAAACCGCCCTTTAGCAGTTTCCCCGAATCAAAACCTAGAATCCGAAGCCAAATTAAAGTTGCATGTTGAAGCCTCGGAGCAATGAAAACGGGATTTCGATGGCGAATTGGCGCCTTCATTTTGAGCAAACTTCCTCAACCGCTTCAGGGTTCGAGCTAAAAAAAAACGACCGGAATTTCCCCATTACTACTGCAGGTTAAGACTCAATTATCACGCACTCTCAAATGAAGCGATAAAGACACACTTTGTGAATTTGGCTCCATTTGGAAACGATGAGTTTCATTACCTCTTCGAAGCGACAGAAATGATTTGAACTGGGCGGGAGGTCAACGAACGTTGGCGGATTTCCTACCGGTTCGCTGCCATCTAGACTACACAATTAGAGCAAAATGAAAACTTCGTAAAAGGAAGAGAAACTTTAGATGTCGTATTTACTCGAAAAACTTATTTAAAACGAACCCCTACACGGAGACAATTTTTAACAAAAAGGCCTCGTTTGAACCCGCATACGTAATCAAGTAATCAAATCTCGCGAGAACACGTGCATCCATGAGACTTTGTTCATTCTTTTTTTCTGTTTTCTTCAATCTATAAAATGGCAGTTTATATTTAATTAAGACATAATACAATCGGTATGGTACTTTAAAAGTAAAATTTATTGTTCACTTCAGATGAAATTTTTCAAGTATGAAAACAGATATTTTATTATTTTTAAGCAAAACAAAGTAAGATCATAACCAGTTAAGTCAGTCAGGAATTGTTTTTTTTTTTTACTCTTCTGTAAATGCAAGATTTGTTAAGTGACAACTTAACATTGTTACTTTGACAGAATTTCCTACCTGAACAGTGAATATGAACCTTCTCCTTAGTTACCACAGACCTGTTCCTTCTCTTGTCAATGTTCCCCGAACATTGACAAGATTGAACATTTCTGAAATTAAATAAACGGGCATGTTTTGTTAGATTTCCACTTTCAGATGATGGACTGAACAGCTCCCTGTGACATACTGTTTTAAGCTAACATTACTATAAACCTTTCCACTACTTCTGGTAGCTGTTCAGCTTTCACAGAACAGCTGCATTTTTACAGATTGATTGCAGATCATTTCATTAAATAACTTTCTTTCTCCATTTAGTGCCTAATCTACATCTCCCATATGAGTTTATGCATGTGTACTGTTGTTTGTTCCAAGGTTTACTTCACGGACCTGCAAGCAGATGTGAGACAAGAAATTGATGTATCTATCACGCATTATAAACATTTTTTATTATTAACAACATTATTATATAAAAATATATTTAAAAGAATAAAGACTTTGCAACACATGCGAAAAGAAAAGTACACATTTTATTTCTTTTAGAAGGTGGTAAGAAGTGGGTAAAAACTGACTTTTTAGTCTTTGTCACAACTGAAGCTGACAGACATGTTTTATTCATCTGGTCTAGTTCAAAATGAGGAGCATTGGCCTTTATTGAAATAAAACAAATGGAAGGAGGACTAAAGTGTATGTCAGGGTGCGCTTTTCCTTTATTTTATTTATTTTAATTTTTTACATTTCAGGTATTTTCCAGGGGTGTTTGTATGAAGCCATTTGCCTAGATAAGGGAATAAAAAAAACATGTTTAAAATTATTATTTTTTTGTTTTATGTCTAAAATTTTTAATTTGCAATCACTCACTCACTCAAGATAATGGATCTTTGATGATTGACAGATTTAATGCATAAAATCTAAGCAGAACAAATATCTCAGGGTAAACCTTTTCTTAAATATTAATTATTTTTGAGATCAAACTTCAGACTTCCAAAAAATTACACAAAAGTTTATTTGAGAAACAGGAGCGGCTGTGAAAAGAGATTTAGTGTCTCGATCTCACTGCTGCCATTCAGAGGGTTGCACCAAGCTGCTAGATATTCTTCTTGTCTTTCAGTCAAAGCCTGAATCCAGTTTTACATGTTGAGATTTTCTCCTCTTTAACAAGCCAGTAGTAGAGGTTTCTCCTGGCTCGACCGTTGAAAACAGTCCTGTCCTGAGGCATGTTTTGGGGTGAAATGATGGACCTTCGTTTATCTAATGAAAAAGACACGGGCTCAGCAGTGGTGGGGAAAACATTCACCACAGTAGGAATGCGACACCAGCTTTGATGTAATACCTACTGTGTCCTCGCTTTGTGGAGGAAACAATATGTGTATCTGCAGACTAAGAGGAGGCAGCATGCTGACTGTCTTGTTCACATTTGGCTGGAGTTCCTGCTTTTTATCACTTCTGTCTTCTGGTAAACAAAACACAGTATCGTAAAAGGACTCCTTAAATTTTTACGCATTTTTCTCCATGTGAGAATGTGACCAGGTGCCTCCTGGGCCCTAAATGTCTTGCTGATGATGAAAAAAGGAACACACTCTCGTCAGCAACAGCAGACTCACGGTTCTCGCCTGAAACGACTCAAGTCCCATGTTTTTTTTCTTTTCTCCTCCTTCTGAATGCATGATCCCCACAATTCCTTGCACCTGGCTTGCACACTCAGGCCTGTGTTGTGTTACCACACTGCTTAGCAACAAGCCTGCCTGTGGTGCCTCTGATGAGAAAGCTGGAGCCAACCTCACCGATTGGGACGTTGTTGGCCAGTCTAACCATCATCTTGTAAAAAGTCTGGTCAGAGGTTTACTTATACTCATTTTTGCTCTGAATGTTATATTCATTTGAACAATTTTTATAACTTGAAGAGTTAAAAAAAAAACTATCAAATTTGAACTGATCATGAATTTTCTCACTGGATACATATTATTGGGAGTTGAGAAAAGTTCTTTTATTTCCTGAAACCAATTGCATAATTACCGAGGGATGTTTGAACATTTTTACCAGAAATGCTAACGTCTCATTTGAAACAGACTGCTAGTTTTATCACAGTGCATGGAGTTTTTAATAGGATTCACCATTAGCTTGATTTATCCACTATAAAAGCAGTTTCTAAATTTCCCTAAATTGGTGATTTAAAGGCTGAGCAAAATGGAATGCAGCTGCACTGCATTTCAAAAATAATTTCAAGCAGGAACAAATATATATTATATTTATTAATTCTCAAAACAAGTAGTTCAGGTAAAGTGGCTACAGGTAAATTCAGAACAAGGCAACAGATTGCTGGGTGGGAAGGCAAAGAAAAGTTCATGTTGCAACATTTAATTAAAGACTTGATGAATTCATCTTTGTTTTCTCTGATGTTAAGTTAGCAGCGAGAAAAGGTCTAACAAAAATCCTCAGATTTTGTTGTTAATCTGAAAGGTAAGAATTCACAAAAGTTGAATATAGTTTTTTAAAATTCATTTATACTCAATTCAAGCCCATATGTTGGTCCTAATACAGCTTTTCACATTCATAACAAAACCCTCTAATTGAAGGCTACATTTATTTTTATCTCCTGAAGGAGACATTTTGGCTAAATCTGCTGGGTAAATATGACAAATGAGACATAACGTCAAAGTGAGTCTCCTTTACAGCAAATCAACAGCGAGGACTCCTCTGGCAGTCTTTAGTGTCTTTGAGAGAGCACCGCTTTACTGAGGCCCCTCAGTTTTCTCCCCCCAGTAGATGCTGCTCTACCCGCCGATTAATATTCTGGAGATCTTTCTGATGGTTGGGTGGATTTTCCAGATCCTCGTGAAGGCATCGTGCGATTTCCAGCTTCCTGTAGTCCTCTGGTCGCACCAGACGTCGCACAGCACAAAGAGCTCGATCCTTCAGACTGTCAACTGGTGAGAAACAGACAATAAGAGAAGTGTTGCTTTTATCACATTAATGCCTTTTACTACAGATTTATTTATACAGTATCATCAGGTGCATAGATCAGTAAGACAGAAATGGTTAAGAATGAACACCATATGCAGTCTATAATGCATGAATTAAAAATATGCACTTTGTTGTACTTTTAAGCATTTTACAAATCATAGAAATATTAGGGATATACAGTTAGGGCCAGAAATATTTGGACAGTAACACAATTTTTGTGAGTTGGGCTCTGCATGCCACCGCATTGGATTTGAAATGAAACCTCTACAACAGAATTCAAGTGCAGATTGTAACGTTTAATTTAAAGGGTTGAACAAAAATATGTGATAGAAAATGTAGGAATTGTACACATTGTTTACAAACACTCCACATTTTAGGAGCTCAAAAGTAATTGGACATATAAACATAACCCAAACAAAAAAGTTTTTGTCAATATTTTGTTGCGAATCCTTTGGAGGCAATCACTGCCTTAAGTCTGGAACCCATGGACATCACCAAACGCTGGGTTTCCTCCTTCTTAATGCTTTGCCAGGCCTTTACAGCCGCAGCCTTCAGGTCTTGCTTGTTAGTGGGTCTTTCCGTCTGAAGTCTGGATTTGAGCAAGTGAAATGCATGCTCAATTGGGTTAAGATCTGGTGATTGACTTGGCCATTGCAGAATATTCCACCTTTTTGCTCTCATGAACTCTGGGTAGCTTTGGCTGTATGCTTGGGGTCATTATCCATCTGTACTGTGAAGCGCCGTCCGATCAACTTTGCAGCATTTGGCTGAATCTGGGCTGACAGTATATCCCGGTACACTTCAGAATTCATCCGGCTACTTGTCTGCTGTTATGTCATCAATAAACACAAGTGACCCAGTGCCATTGAAAGCCATGCATGCCCATGCCATCACGTTGCCTCCACCATGTTTTACAGAGGATGTGGTGTGCCTTGGATCATGTGCCGTTCCCTTTCTTCTCCAAACTTTTTTCTTCCCATCATTCTGGTACAGGTTGATCTTTGTCTCATCTGTCCATAGAATACTTTTCCAGAACTGGGCTGGCTTCTTGAGGTGTTTTTGGGAAAATTTAACTCTGGCCTGTCTATTTTTGGAATTGATGAATGGTTTGCATCTACATGTGAACCCTTTGTATTTGCTTTCATGAGTCTTCTCTTTACTGTTGACTTAGAGACAGATACACCTACTTCCTGAGAGTGTTCTGGACCTCAGTTGATGTTGTGAACGGGTCTTCTTCACCAAAGGAAGTATGCGGTAATAATCCACCACCGTTGTCTTCCGTGGACGCCCAGGCCTTTTTGAGTTCCCAAGCTCACCAGTCAATTCCTTTTTCCTCAGAATGTACCAGACTGTTGATTTTGCTACTCCAAGCATGTCTCTCTCTGATGGATTTTTTCCTTTTTTTAAGCCTCAGGATGTTCTGCTTCACGTCAATTGAGAGCTCCTTTGACCGCATGTTGTCTGGTCACAGCAACAGCTTCCAAATGCAAAACCACACACCTGGAAACAACCCCAGACCTTTTAGCTACTTACTTGATTACAGGTTAACGAGGGAAAGGCCTTTTGAGTTACTTGCAGCCTTTAGAGTCCATTGTCCAATTACTTTTGGTCCCTTGAAAAAGAGGAGGCTCTGCATTACAGAGCTATGATTCCTAAACCCTTTCTCCGATTTGGATGTGGAAACTCTCATATTGCAGCTGGGAGTGTGCACTTTCAGCCCATACTATATATAAATTGTATTTCTGAACATATTTTTGTCAACAGCTAAAATAACAAAACCTGTGTCACTGTCCAAATATTTCTGGCCCTAACTGTACACTTTAGTGCATAAATACTAACCTAGTAATTATTTGTTTGATTAGAAATCTTGGTAAATGGGAAGATTTTACATGGGACATATTAAATTAAACCATATTAAATCCTCCCATTGGTCCCATGTTAAATCCATCCATTTCTTTTAAGAACTTGAACGATGATTTCCAGGAAGTTTAAAACAAACTGGGCTGGCCACAGTGTTGATGCTGAAAAGAAATCTAATTTAACGTTTTATGCACAACTAATTTAATAAAAAACATCATTAGAGCCCCAGGAAAAATATAACTAAACTTATTCCTCTATAAATTTGACAATAAATGTTGCAGTATATAGGTATCTTAAATATCTTTAAGAGTCTTACCTGATAAAGTGATGTTAACATGAATTACCTCATCACCGGATGGTTTGGGAACAAACATCTCTTTGCAGTTGACTTTTAAAGCTTCATCAGAGGCTGCATCTCTGAAGATCCAAGGGTGCCCTTAAAAAAACAAATACAGCATAATAACACATTATTTCACAATAACATTTATGACAAAAAAATTTTGACCATCCACCTGGAGCGTCACTACAAGACTTTTCCTCTCTGCCAGTTATCTGAGTTTTATGAATCTCTTTAGGTCTGAAACATCTTGCTGCAGCAGTGGCTTCCTCCCACTGCAACAACAGAGATCTGGGTGTTGAAACCTTTTTCCTGACTCGTGTGCATCATGTTTACAGATCTGCTCACATGATCACAGCCTCAGAAGGAGAGAGATTTTCTGGCACAGATGATAACATCTCAGCCCGCTGCTCCAAGACCAGCAGGAACTCATGTTCAGCAAAGCAAATTACAGCTAAGGCTAAATCGGGCCATCTCAGCCACGTTCTTCTGTAGGAATGATTAAGGTTTTCTGTGAAGATACACTCAAAGAGATTTTTTTTTAACAAAAACTGTCTGAATTCTTCGACTCATTTGATACATCGCCACATGCTTAGTTTGCTCACACAAGGTCAATAATCCATCACAAACCAGATGTAACTTAAATTAATTATTTAACTTTAAATTTATCCTTGCAAAAGAAAGTAAACTAAATGTCTGTTTCAAAGGACAATATTTCCTGTCACTACTTTTAAATTGAAAACGTATTCTATTGTAACAAACTTGACTTTCAAGATATATGAAAGGACAACTATAAATAAAAGCAACATTTATTTAAGATTCATTGATGAATATTTCCATGTTTACCTGTTATTCTTGATGACTTCACACACTTTTTCTCTAGATGTCTTGTATTCTTTTCCTTTTTAGCAGATTACAGCAATTTTGTTTGACATTTTGTCAACTTCATATTGTCCTTCCTACACATACTGGTGTGATTTCTTAACTCTACATGGTGGGGCACTTAACTTTTACCACACAAAGTCAGTTTAAGCTGAATCACTTTTTGCCTTAAAGAAAGCAATTTGAAAACAATCTGAGCTTTTTAAGCACAACAAATGAATTAATATGCAAGAATAAGACGAGGTTGTACAGAAATTTAAGTCAATGCCAGACATGAAGTGAAATGAGATGCAGCCTTGGCCCAGCTGTATGCTATTTTTGCACTGTAAATAAATGCGATTCACTTCAAATCGAGAAACAACAGAGAGAGGAAAAACAGCTGTTATTGCTAAAAGAAATATTCCTCATTTCAGAACATATTCCTTTTCTGATTAATTGATTAAGTGATAGATTTCAGTTCGCTCATTCACTCACCGACATAGGTTGTCATTCTCCGTCCCGAGAATGGCTGCATGTCGGCGTAACTCGTTGGTTTGCCTTCGTAGTTTATCCACAGCGGCCGGACAACACGGCTGGTGCGATTACAGAAGACAACATTAACAGGAATCCCGCTGCTCAGAGAGCGAACCGGGGGAAGAGATTCCTCTCCCTCCTGAGGCATTAGTCCTGAGCACCGACTCCAAAATGCAGCGAGATTAGCTGAGCGGCTAACAAGAGACGAGCTAACTCAAACAGGCCCCTTTCTTTCGATGTAACATCAACAATTAAGCAACAACTGCTCTTTTTCCAGTTCAGTTTGCTAGTTAAACTTAAGACGCAACTAAGTTCAGATAAATTGTGAAGAAAACCTGCACCTAGCTCCTTTAGCTCCGCTGCGCTGTTTATTTTTCCTTTTCCGGAAGAGACGCAATACAACACAGTGTTCTGATTGGTTAGAAAGCCACGGACGTCCCAAAACGTGTCTCTCGTACGTGCAGTGCGTCGTGCAGAGAAAGAACCACAACAATGCTATGGCTGTCCGCTTCTGAAGCTTCGACACAATGTTTCGAACCCCAAACAGCGGCCCTGACACCTAATCTCAGCTGGAAACGATTCATATTTTGTAGGCATATTTTTTGTGCACTTTTGCTGTTGAGTGAGAACATGGAGTCATCCAGGAAGAGAGGTCGTTCTGACATGTGGGCACACTTTAAACTGATCGCTCCTGATAAGGTAGGTGTGCTTTCCTCTTTTATTGGTAATATAGCAATAGGAACAGCTTCCCATTGAGAAAACCATTAAAGGGTGATTCCACCTCATGTTTCACGACCTTGAGCATCTTTGAACTGCTTTAGTTAGTAACTAAAACATTTAAGACATTTTAAACCCGGTTTAAATCATTCTGCATTGATTACAGAATGTCTGAAACCATGTATGTGATTTGTGAAACTTCAATAAAGGGTGATTTCAGATGCTGTGGGCATCTGTCCCACAGTGGAACTGCTCCTGCTCCATAACGACAGCTAAACCCCTCAAACTTCAACCGGCTAATTCTGAACTAAAAGCAGAATATGTAAAACTGAACATGTGATTTGTGAAATCTTTATTTATGGAACTTCGACAAAGAGCCATATAACTCTTCTTCTTCTTGTATTATAATAATAATAATGATAATAATAATAATAATTATTATTATTATTTTGCACTACAACAGCTGTTGCTGAACTGGAGATCTCCTTCAGTGACAGATGTGTGTCATCACACATCTGCTTTTTTGCTCTGATGTAGTGTATTTTAAACAGTCTCTCTTTTTTAATGCAAATTAAACAACATATTTTATGTTTTAAAAATAGTCACCTTACTTATTTGCACACCTCTTGGATTGTGAGTACAATATTTCTACTTCTGATAACTACACTGTATATTTTTGTTGTTATACTGACCAGTAGCATGTATTTATATTGTTTTCAATCTCATATCTTTCATATGTACATATACATACAATAGTTTTGGATGTTTTACGTAAATCTACATGTCTTGACTCTGCTGGTGCAATTGAATTTACCCACTGTGGGACAATAAAAGGTATTTCTACTCTATTCTACTGATTATGTGCAGAAAAGTGAGACATACTCTAGTGACAGAGTTGCCTTTGCGCATCACAGTAACTATGCTGGTTAAAACGGGTGCAGCAATTACCATGCCTATCTGATTGCTGGCAAATTAAAATCCGAACCTTTTTTATTGGTCACTGTGGTGACTTGTAGAGTGGCTGGGCTCAGCACATTTAATAGGGTGCTGGTTTGATAGGTCTCAAAGCTCCTGTTCTCAGATAAATGCCTCCTCACTGAATAAATCAGAGCATAAATCATGACTTTGTCCATTTAGCCGCAGTATTATGCACAGGCACCCAGGTAACACATTCGAAATGCATCTGCATCTTGTTTACCTTATTTTTGAGTCGTGCTCTCCTCTAATTTATCTCTGTGTTGACTGTGGTTTGCAGAAATTAACTTAAGTTAACTTAAGTATAGTAAGCTACAAGCCTATTATTGATGTATTAGACTAGTATCACCATTACAGTACAACCTTTTAGACTCAAAAAATTTGATTTACAAATTGTGTCTCTACAGGTCCAGTGCTCGTTGTGCTTAGGTGAGTTGAAGTATCACGGGAATACTTCATCCATGATTAGGCACTTCTCTACCCTGCATGGAGCCACAGTTAACCACGGCCACACAAACCAAGGTAGAGGGAATCTTTTAATGATTGTTGATAAACCACAGACCCGTTTTACATTTTCCTTTTATTCATTATCTTTTTATTTGTGCATGTCTTTATTTATCGAAGGCGATCAGAAGCCAGATGTAGACAAGGCTCTTGTGAAGATGCTGGTGAAAGACTCGCAACCTTCTTCCATTGTGGACTCATTACCGTTGCTTGACAGTGGGGGTCAACCCAGGAAGAAAGGTCGCTCTGATATGTGGGAATACTTTAAGCTGGTCAAGCCTGACAAGGTAGGTGTGCTGGCTCTTTGATAGTTAACAGGCAGAGTTGGGAAGTAACTAATTACATTTACTCAGTTACATTTACTTGAGTAACTTTTTGGGACAAATATATTTAGCAGTATTTCTAATATGCTGTAGTTTTACTTTTACTTGAGTAAAATGTCTGAGTTCTTTACTGAGTAACTTCATTGAATACAAAAACAAGTTTGTTTTAACCAAAAAATTACCAGATATATACACATCTGCAGATTTAGTTAAAGTTTTATAGGTTTGAAGAAATTGATTTGGAAAAATATTTCTTCTTATTTTCTTATTTTGTAATTATGTAATTTATATAAATTATTTCCATTTTGGTCTATGAAATACAAAAAATAACATAACTTTATATTTTGGTCTGTCTGAGTTACTGGGTTTGTTAATTTTTTAATATATTGTTATATTTAGAGACATAAAACCCATAAAATACCAAAAGTACAAAATATAACTCATAACCAGTCTTTCGATTGTTTTGGAAAGGACCTATTTCAAATAATTTCTGACAAATAACTTTTAATACATACATAAATGGAGTACCATAATTAAAATATGATTTGTGCTTCATTATGAAAACCACAAAGGGAGTAGTGTAAATAAAATATGATTTGTCCTTATCATTTGTGCTTGTAAATAGCTTTTAACTGGAACATGACAAGTAAATATGTTGTTAGTTATTGAGTAAGCAGAGAAAGGATGAACTTTGATGTTTTGCAATAAAAATTACCAATGCAAATAACGTGTGAGCTCTGAGGAGCTCCAAAAACAGTTACTGGTGGTCGCACTATCTGCCCCAACATTACAGCAGTTATAAAATGGCTGTAATGTTGCAGTTGGGAAACTAGCCACAAATGTGCTTGAGTTGTCATTAGGTCAGTTCTGGTCCTCAGGGACCACTGCCATGCATATTTTAAATGTGTTTCTGTTCCAGACCACCTAATTCAAACGATTGCATGGCCTCCTCTGCATGCCATCAAGAGCTGCAGAAGCCTGTTAATCACCCACTTATGCAAGCAACTCGCTAACTGTTTATGCTGTGACACAAATCAACAAGAAATCATGAGAAATTTGAACTGCATACTTTTCTATTACTACTTCTGTCTTGTGGAGTGATTGAGTCATGCATTGATACCCAGGTTTGGCTTATGAACCCATCAGGTTATAACTTTTTAGATTTAAGGTGCCTTTTTACATGCAGGTCCAATGTTTGGTGTGTTCAGCTGAGTTGAAATATCACGGAAGTACTTCCTCCATGATTAGGCATTACACTGCGAAGCATGGAACTGTGGTTAACCACGGGAAGGCAAATAAAGGTAGCATAAATCTCTCATACTTTTAACATCGTTGACAAAAAAAAACAGATACACAATATGCTTCTGCTTCACAATGTTATGGCTTTTCTTTTTTATCTGCTTGTCTTCTTTTTTGTCTCTTAGGGGACCGGAAGCGAGAGCTAGACGAGGCTCTTGTGAACATGCTAGTGAAGGATTCGCAGCCTTTTTCCATTGTTGATGACTGTGGCTTCAAGGAGTTTGTGGCGTTGCTTGATCCCACATACACTCTTCCATCCAAACAGACTCTGAAGGACATGGTGATACAGAGATACGAGGGCCAGATGTCCAAGATCAAGGCTCACATAGAAGATGGAGACTCTGACCTTGACTGCTGATACATGAACTGCCGTCAACATGTTTCCTGACGTTATGTGGATGACACTGCCAAGCGTCCCACAATGCTGTTGGGAGTGGCGTATTTGCCTGAAGCACTTACTGGTGGTAGGATCGCTGCTAACACAAGATCTCTCATGAAAGAATGAGGTAGTGAAGGAAAGGTGACCTTATGAATATGGTTGTCTGTTAGAAGTTTAAATCTGAGATGTACACTTAGCTTTGTCCTTTCGTTAGTTTTAGTGGTGAGGAGCTCTCTGGATGCACCTGATCCGGGGGGCTTCGCAAAGGAGCACAAAAGCCAGTCACATTCTTATATAATAAGCTCAAAGAAGTGTGGGAGTTGATCAATTATGAGGCGATCAAGGTTATTTCAGAGGCCAAACAGGCTTGGACCGAAAATATGAACCTGGTTCATATCTTCAGAGAGAGGCAGCCGGTGGGGAACGGCTATCATTGAGCTGAAAACAGACTCTGGACAGTAGCCGTCCAAAGTGAAGAAGTTTTCATGGCTAAAGAAACGACCAAAATGTTGTATGTGATACTTGCAGGTAGCACTTGGGAAAAAAAATTACAATGCAGCTGAACTTTAGAAATGATTGTTTTCTACAATGTGTTTGTGTGTTTTGTGATTTTATTTTTCTGAAACATTTAACCTAACCTCACATAACCTCATGCTAACCTCCAAGATGAGTAGAATATGTTTATTTTGGAGATTACCAAAATAACAGAATTTATTGTCTGTTTTACAGAATTTCTACTCAGTCTCAAAAATTCTGGGGAAGTATTAAATTGGCTTCTGTCATTTTCCACATTTGGAAAAGTATGGTAATTCTTTATTGAGAAACTGTATTAAGTTTTCAGATTTTTTTGGTCCTTATTCCCATCTTGAACTGACAAAGTCTAATAATCCTTTTCAAATATTATTGTTGTCACATCAGTTTATGAATTACATATGCTTTATAGTTTGCTAACTCTCACATTAGGTTGAACATTTTACCCATCAATATTTGATATTTGACTTACTGGTTGTATATAACACCTTAAAGCAGGTGTGTCAAACTCATTTTCGTTTTGGGCCAAATCAAGATCATGAAGGCTCTTAAAGGGCCGGTTGTGCCAGAATATGTTGATAAAACCTGTTCACAAACGGTTAGTATGTCAATGAGTTCTTAAAATTACATAATATTATTGAAGATCTTTTCAGTCCCTTCAGGAACTAATAATAAAATGTGACTGTTTATTTACTCGCTGTATAAATCATGGACTATAATTATACATCAACTAAATTCTCAAGAAACTGGAGGGATTTATTGATATAAATTGGCAGTAAACAAACAAAAACTGCATTGATATGATTGATAATATAATATTTAATCACACTTAGTGTTTAGTCTAATCTGTGGAGGGCCACATAAAAAGCTTTGGCGGGCCGGATTTGGCCCCCGGGTCTTGAGTTTGACACATGTGCCTTAAAGCTAGGTTGAACTGTCCCATTTGATCAAAAATCCAAAGCAAGCACTGGAAATGATATACTTAGCTTCCTCATTGTGGCATTTGGCCAAATCTACATGCTGAGTTTGTTTTCATGGAAACGGTTCCATATGTATCAGTCTGTAATCTGTCTATCTTATCGATCATCTGCTGACCTAATAACCAAACCCTCAGCAATGTTTGTGAGCTCCACCCAGTTTGATCTCCAGTATAAAAACAGGGGGCGCAGCACTAGAGACTGAAACAAGACTTCAACTTCTGCAGCGATTGCAAACTTTACATGCGTGTTTTTTTTTCTTCTTTCTTTTAATTAAGCAGATTTTATATATAAACACACTATTTCAATTCCAGACGCTCTGTGTCCGAGTTTAAAGTTAAAATGCGTCCGCTAAATGAGAGCGACTTCGTGGATGCGCACGACCTCCCGCGGGACGAGAGTCTGGCCCGCGTGGAGATCGCGCTGCTCGGTGCGATCTTCGTGACCGCCGCCTTCTTCAACACCGCCCTGCTGCTGCTCCTCTGGCGGCAGCGCAAGCAGATGTCCAGGATGCGCGTCTTCGTCTTCCACCTGTGCCTGGCGGACCTGGTGGTCGCGTTTTTCCAGGTGTGCCCGCAGCTCATGTGGGACATCACGGACCGGTTCGTGGGACCCGACCTGGTGTGCCGCCTGGTGAAGTACCTGCAGGTGCTGGGCATGTTTTCCTCCACCTACATGATCGTGGTGATGACGGTGGACAGATACCAGGCCATCTGCAACCCGATGGTGAAGTTTCAGCGGGCGCGCTCAAGACTGAACGTCCCCGTGTGCGTGGCGTGGGGGGTTTCTGTCGTGGGCAGCTTGCCGCAAGTTTTCATCTTCTCCCAAGTGGAGGTCGCGCCCGGTGTGTTCGACTGCTGGGCGGAGTTCATCCAGCCCTGGGGGCTGCAGACCTACATCACCTGGACAACTCTGGTCATTTTCATCCTGCCGGTTTCCACGGTTGTCGTTTGCCAGGTGCGCATCTGCAGAGCCATTCAGACCAACCTGTCCAGAAAGACCCACAGGCAGGGAGTGAGCGTCGGGGCGCCGCTGCCGGCGAGAGCCAGCGGCGCGGCCGGCATGTCCAAAGCCCGGGTGAAGACGCTGAAGATGACCGTGGTCATTGTGTTGGTGTACATCTTCTGCTGGGCTCCCTTCTTCACCGTCCAGCTGTGGTCCGCCTGGGACGCAGACGCGCCTAAAGAGAGTAAGTTACTGCAGAAATACCAAAGAACACATGCAGATTTCATCATTAAAATAACTTTAATTTAATGCAGTGATTGTTAAATGAAAAAGAGATCTAAAGTTTATATGCATATAATGCACCATATCAAACAAAAATGATTAAAAAAAAGTCAAATACATAAACAATGACATAGGACAATTATTTGATTTCATTGTGTGTTAAAAGAATTATTATTTCATTATATTTACTGAAATAGTTAACCTCTAATTGGTTAACCTGCTTGACTGGAGATCAATCTTCTCCATTGTTAGCCCCACCCAGTAACTCTGACATGACAAAACTGACCAAGTTAATATTTTTAGCACATTTACAACAACCTCAGCTGATCAAAGTGCTTCATAACAAACACAACGCCACAGGTAGAAACAGAAAATAAAATTAAGTTTAAAAAAATAAAAAAACAAAACAATTATACAATTGACAGAAAATGTCTAAAATTAATAATATGAATAAAACCAAAACCGTACTTATTTTCAGCTGCAGTGAAATAAGCTTTTCTCTTTAATCGGAGTTAAATGTCAGGGACAACAAATCCGTTTTCAGCTTAACAAATGAATCATCTTTTGTTGCAACAAAGAACTATAGAACAATAAATTAGATTCTTAAGTAAACACATATGGTTTTAATGACGAACAACAATTTATACACTCCTTTTTATGTTAAATTATTCTGTTACTTATGTTTTTTAACTTATTGTGGAATTGCAACAATTTTAACTGGTCATAAAACTTACATTCTCATTATTTGTAAGAGAATAAAGTCCAGAGTCCTGTATTTCAATGAAGACTTAATAGAGCAGGGAATTTTATATATTGTTTAGTTTGCAGCTACATTATTGATAATCCATCTAGAAAACAAACAAAAAGAATAAACAGATCTGAGGAACATATTTATGCAACAATATTAACTGGACAAGATAGTTCACATTTTCCAGTAAAGGTTACGTGCTCCTGTAACCTTTTTACATGCAGACATAAATCATTACTTTTGAAAAACACAATTTTATCAGCTGGAACTGATTTCACTTGTATATTTTAAGAAATATTGCTCAGCTGTAAGTGTGATATATTCTGCTTTTGTACTTAATTTATCCAATTGCTTCGCTGTTGATAAAATGGAAGGATAAATGATTTTACCTGTACAATCATTAGTTGTTGTTTTTTGATTGAACATGAGATACCGTTACAAATTTTTAATCATTATAAATTCTTTACATTTTTCTTTAAATTTAATTATGGATGTAAAGTTTTGGCATCTCCTTTCAGTGTCAGAGGTCATGCATCCTCTGCGGAGCGGCAGGCCTGCAAACTTTAAGCCGCACATTAATTTTCTCCTGAGCAAATTAATACAGGAAGCTACAACGCTTGTACATTTTCATGAGATTTCAGTGCAAACGCATTAAATGTTTTTAGTTCTGCTCCTGCAGATGCGATTTTCACCATCCTGATGCTAATGGCCAGCCTGAACAGCTGCGCCAATCCCTGCATCTACCTCCTGTTCTGCGGGGAGTTCCCCAAGAGGCTGGTGAAACTCCTGCGTCCGCCGCCGCTCTCTGTCGGTAAGGATCCGATGCATGAGGAAGTGAAGCTTGTCAGCGCTTTGTATACGAGCTTTAGAACTGGCTCAGAGTCAAAGGGATTGTAACGGCGTGTCATAAAGAGAGGCGGGAGGGGGGAACGTGGAGACCTGCGTGTTGAGAAGAGCTTACTCTGAGCTCTCTTTGTGTTTGACAGAGAGATGAAGACAAAATATGATTTATCTGTTGATGTTTCTAACGTTATTGCTTGTCTATGAAGCAATCATCAGGAGAGCAAATCAGGGATGGATGGCCGTGAATGAGATGTGGACAGAGTCTCCGTCAGATGTTGGCCTGAAAGGTGATTTTACTTAAACGGAGCATTTTCAACTGGATATTTCTAAAGCCTGGAAGAGAGGGGACTTTTGTGGGCTCTTATTTTTATTTTCAGTAGCACAATGTTTTATTTTGTTTCATATATACAAAGGTTTGTGGAAAGAAATATTACAGACACAACAAATTGTACCACAGATTGATACTCATTTGTTGGATCTGGGTTTCATTCTTCGATAACAAGCTGCTGGAAAAGCCAAAGAACAAAAGTCTTTGTATAAATAGTTTGATGTTTTTGTTCTGAAAAAAGTGTCCATGTTTGTTGTGATGAAGGTGAATTTTCTGACAAGGGAAGAATAAATCTATAAAGGCACCATTTATGTTTCTTTCTAAGGTCATATGAAATGATGATATTATAGGCATAAACTTGAAATGAATCGTGTGTCACTTTGTATTCCCAACGAACAATCCCAACTTATGTTACAACCATAAACTTCAATGTATTTCGTTGGGATATGTGACAGACCATAATAAATTATTATATAATTGTGAAATAGAATTTGAATAAATTGTTTTCAAAATGTTTTATTAAATAAACTGAATGGAAACTGAGGTGGCTGCATCATGGCTTTTCTTCAGCGGGAATCGGGAAGCTAGCCAGATTTGAACATTCTGTTTAAATTAAATGTTTAAAGGATCACACTAGCCACAGTTGGACTTTGTAGTTGTCTTTGTCAAACATCTGGAATCAGGGTATTATCTTCAGGCCTGCAGACTGATGAGGAATTTGAACAGGAGTAGCGCGGCTCGCCAGCAGCAAGATGAGAAATGTTTGACTTGCACCTTATATACATGCAAAGCGCATGTTGATTTATTTTCACTGCTCCAGCTGAAAACAAGTTACGTTTCAATAATGTGTCTTTTTCTCTGCATGTGATAACAAAGGAATCTGAATGTAATTTTTCAAGGTTCATTTTAAAGTAAGGACACAGAAAGTTGATCATTCTTCCTGACCAAGCTGCTTATTCACATAAGGCGTTTCAGGTTTAAGAAATAATAGTGTCAGTATTAGCAGTTAGTATTCACTTGGAGATGTTTTTTTTTTTCTCAAAACCCTGAGAAAAAGGGAAACACAATTAAAGAGTTAATATTAATAGGAGGAAAGATTCAAACATTTCCCATTTTAGAAGAGGAGAATGAGAAGCGATGTCCGTTTATTTAAGGAAAAGAGACCCAACAGTCGTGTGTCCTTACTCACTTATTTATTTACCTTTTGAGAGAGGTAAATAAAAGAAAAGTACAAGTTCAATTATTTTTAAGAACATGAGTTAGGTGCACATGTTTGATTATTGTACATTTGCAGATTATCTGCAATTTGCAAAAGATTTAACTTGTACATACAGGATCCCATATCCATCCAAGTCTCTGAATGTTCTAGGATGTCTTCTAACTGGACAGGACCAATGCCTGCTAAGGTCTGGTAAGTGGTTTTGGCTGACTGCGTCTGGTACTTTTTTCTTTAACAACATGAAAAGGGTTTGTTTGACAGAACTAGTAGGGTTGGCCAGTACTCTGAACCAGCAGTAATTCATACTGCTGGTCTTCTGACAGCGGTCCAACAAACTGAGTGAAGACCAGCGGAGAGTTGCAGATATACACATTGGGAGAGGGTTGTTTTTTTAGTTTTGTTTTTTTTAGCAATCTCTAAACAGTTTTAGATTCCATAATTATGGGTTCATAGCTGACCCAAACAGTCACCTCCAGGAGAATGCAAACTGGTTTGGATGTTCAAGAGATACCCAGCAACTTTGAAAGCTCAAACAGCTCATGTCCAGAATTATAAGAATGTATCTTATCATGGTCCAGTAAAAGTTCAGACTTAAATCCAGCTGAGAATCTGAGTCACAGATGCTCTCCATCCAGACTGACCCACCAGCGGGTAACTACAGAGCTACAGTCACAGAGAAAGGCTTTTTTAAGTATTGAAGAATAGAGGGTTGAATAGAAAAGCACGCAACACTTCTCAGATTTTCCTTTGTTTAAAAAAAAGAAACGCAAACCATTTTTTTTCTGCTTCCATGATGTTTGACGTTCGTCCTCCTGACCGCTGGTTGGCGACAAAGCGCTGCGTCTGATCTGCCAGAGAAGAAGCGATGAAGTCATTTCCAACAGGAATTCGACATGTTTTTGTTTTTTTCCTGCTTTCTAAAACAACAGCTGCCCATGTGTGCTTCACAGCTCCCTTTTCACACACTAGTTCCCCCATAAAAGCGCCCCGCTTCTCTACTATGCCTGCTTATCGTTTGCACTTTCCTTTTTGTGGGTCCGTGGTGTTTTAGCGCCTCTCGAATGGGGCAGAAACCGCGGCCCGTTTGGACCACGAACCGGGCCCGTTCCTGTTAAGAGGAGGTGAGACTTTCAGCTCTATGGGCAAAGTGAGCATAGAGACCCGGCTGCAGGTGGTGAGCCTCAGCCAGCAGGGCCTGTCTCAGGCGAAGATCGCCCGGCAGACGGGCGTCTCCAAGAGCGCCATCCAGGCTCTGCTGCAGAAGCACCGGAGGACGGGCACCGTGGAGGACCGGCGGCGCAGCGGCCGGCCGCGCAAGCTGAGCGGAGCCGACGAGCGGCACATCCGGCTCATCTGCCTGCAGAACGAGAAGATGTCCAGCAGCGACATCACCTCCGAGCTGGCGGTGACGAGCGGGACCCTGGTGGACCCGTCCACCGTCAGGAGGAGCCTGGCCAGGAACGGCCTGAGCAGGAGGCGAGGAGACAGAAGCAAAACCTGCCTGAGTGACGGCAGAGAGGAGGAGGAGGAGGAGGAAGAGGAGGAGGACCACAGAGAGGACGGTGACAGCCTGGAGAAGGAGCTTTCTGCTAAGGATTCAGAAGCAGAAATAACAGACTCTGATAAGAGCATCAAGAAGGAGAATCCGGACGCGTCGAGCTCCAGTGAATAAGCGTAGCAGCCATTTTTGTAGGCTTTCTCAGGCAATATTTGCTAAATAAAACAATTGTCAGCTGGTTGATGCAGCGGATGATGCACGGCGGCGTCATCCGCAAGTCACTTTCCGCCAAGAAACTCTGAAATGTTGAGACTAAACTCAAGAGAGTTGCTCGCAGGAAACTTGTTTGAGATTTTGAGTACAATCTCAAATCTTGAAATTAATCTCAGAAATTTTTTTTGCGGGGGAATGATGGACTTGTTTGAAAAGAATTAGACTTTTGAAAGATTGTTTTTTTTTCTCTATAAAATTTCTTAGAGTAATCTAAAAATTTGCTCCATTTTTCCTTCTAGCAATTTGCTGAGATTAACCTCTAAATTTCTGAGCTTACAATTGTTTTTTATGTACAATGGGCCTGTTATGCCGTCATAGATGATGGGACCAGTCTGGACTTAAAGGCTCACAAAATGATAAACTGTTGGAAGAGAAACCTAAACATGGTTCATATATGTAATATAAGCTAATATTTATAGACAGGATGTCAGTTTTTATGCCAAACAGTGTCAATCACACAACTACATGCACTAAACAAACAAACAAACTGTGAAGACAAAAAAAAAAAAACGAGTGCCTGGGGAAACCTGCTCAGAGATTTTTTCTTTGTCGACCCAAAACAGGGACGAATATTTCAGCAGGCTGAAGTGACCAAAAATAAAGTGAAACCAAAACATGCTTACACAGTTGCTGTTTGAACATGTCACTTATTCAGTGTTCTTGTTTGTCCAGAATAATTCATACTGCTGGTAGATTCAGATTTCATGTCGTCTTGTAATTTAAGGGCAGGTTTCTTCTGACTGGACGGAGGAATATTAATATTTGGCGTTCTGTCTCGAATCTGTGGAGATGAGAGATGATGTGCCATTATTTATGAAATTTCAAATAAGGATTGTGATTTACCAACAATTCCCTCACTGTTCTCTAATCTTGCTGACCCATCTTGTTCTCTTGTGTCTATATCAGGTGTAGAGGATATAAAATAGAGTGAAAGTCCATCCAACTCTTCACAAATAATATCAAACAGATTCTGCCAGCTGAAATGTGCTGGTCAACTGAATGCTGAGTCCAAGCAATCTTTTGCAATTTTGCGCATGTGGAAATTACCATTAAATCTGCGGTTTGATACGTTTTGCAGCTCCACCAGGAGTCTCGTAAGCTGCAAAGACTCGGAGCTCTTTACAAATATGGAAGTGGAAACATGCAAAAAGCTGGTCAGTATTTGAAAGAATCTTCTTGTTGCCACAAAGCCAATAGAGGTCTTTCCACTGACTCTTAAGAGAGTGCTATAAATCATTTAATATGCGATATATGTGTTCAAATGTAAATAAACATGAATTATTTTTTCCAAAAATTACACCCTTTGCACATTCTTTTTATTATTTTATGTGCTGCTAGACTAACTTGAAGCTGTGCACAATTATAGTGTAAGCAAACTGATTCAGGACTCAAAAATATTTTCCAAATAAAAATCTGAATAGTGTGGTGTGCATTTTGTTTGATCACTCCTCTGAGTCAACACTTTGAAGATCCGCGTTTTGCTGAGGTTACAGCTGCAAGTCGTTTAGAGTACGTCTCTATCCGTTTTGGACGTTGAACTTTTTGCCCAATCAGCTCAGCCACAGTTGATCTTGCAACATATTATCCTTTGGATTCATGTCTGAACTTTGACTAGGCTATTTTAACCCAGGATGGAAGATTAACCTCTGACCTAGCCCCAAGTTTTTTGGAGCATCTGACTGGTTTTCTTCCAAATTCCATTGTATCCATTTGTCTTCACTGTAAGCTTAGACCAGATTCCCTCCCTCGTTCAAGGAAAACTCTCCCCACAGCCTGATGCTGCCACTGCAGTTTCACAGTGAGGATGGTGTGTTCAGGGTGATGTCCAGGACTAGTTTTCCTCTGCAAACAGCTGAAAAGTTTACTTTTGATTTTATTTGACCAGAGAACATTCTTTGTTTGCTGCATTGTCTAAATTGGAACTGGGTGTCTTATCAGCTCTAACTCGGGTTTCTTTTTGCTTCTCTTTCACAAAGGAACAGATTTATGGACTGCATAAAGAAGAGTTATCCAATCGACATACTTTCCACCTGAGCTGTGATCTGTGGAGGACCTCCAGGCTTTTTATTTTCCACTTCGTCTTCTCCTGCTGCTTCTCTGATTTGTGATCTCGTTATCCAGCCAGGTTAAGTGGACGGCTGTGTATCGGTGTTGTCCGTGCTCTGTACATTTTCAAATGAGGGACTCTACAGTTTTCTGAGCTGTCCGACACTTGGAATATTTACTTATAAGACGTCCCCCCTTTAAACTTTCCCACAACTTTCTCCTGGCCTCTCTACTAATTGGGTGGCCTCTGGAGGCAGTCAATGGATGTATCCGAGTGACAAATGATGAAATCAAAAGTATGAATCCCTTCTAAACATCCCAAAACGAAGGCGGTATTTGTCGCTGTGAAGTGACAAATATTGAAAAGATCAAGAGGCATGAACATTCCTGAAAGGCACTGTGCTGTAGACTTAGCGAGCTTTTGTTTTTTGTTTTTTTGGGGTAATGTCTTTCATCAAACTTTGGCAGCACAAAGCAGCACCGTGAAGTGCAAAAATATCTCAGTAGTGTGAAGTTTCCCTGCTTAACCTCTAGGAGGTTTTGGTCGTCGATCAGCAGCACCTTCTGTAGAACCAGACGATGTCCTGCTGTGATCATCTTTGCTGCAGGCACATTGTAATTGATAGTAATGAAGCCTAATAAGAAGAAGCATCACTTAAGCGTGCAAACATGTCATGCTTACAAGGAGCAGCCCCATGTGCCGTAACATGCCCAGCTGACATCCATGATTAATGAGTGTAGCGTGCATATGGCTGCCACAGCTGTTGTCCACACTCACTGTCTTGCTTAGTGTACATCACAGCCCTGATCTGCTTTGTTCTTTCACTGCCTGGTCAGAATAAAAGCCACCACCGAACAAAAAAAGGTCACACACGCTAATATTTTGTTAGACTGGCACACATTCGCTTCTGCAACGTCTCAAGATGAATTTCCGTCCAGCCTTGTTGTGAAAGAACAACTCTTTCAACGTTTTATCCTGACGAATCTTGACATTGTTGCAATCTGCCTGTGCCAGCAAGGAAGAAAACATCCACTGATCTAATGACCTGGTAATCCAGTTTATTCAGCTGGACACAATCTTTTGGCAGGCATCAAGATGAACAGAAATGAGGGTTTAAAATATAAAACTATCTGCGTAGTGAAGGTAAATAACACCTGAATTTCATTTTTGGCATTGATTTCCTGTCAGAAATTAATTCCTCAATGATATCCTAACTACTTAATATATGTGTGGTTGTATAACTGTAGACATTACCATCAGAAACCTGACAAAAAGACATCAAATTCTAGCTGAGATAAAAAGCAATAATTCAGGAGGTGCTGTTCCTCCTGGACATGAAGAGAAGACTCAGCATCTGCTGCAGACAAAGCAAAAGAAAAAAAAATAACCAAGTTGTGTTGATGAAATGTTATATAATGCATCTCTCAAAGCGGTACAAGAAATGTTTTTCTCCAAGGGTTGTCACATTAAAATCCTCAGAGAGGCTCCACATCTCTTCTCCCTCACACAGAGACTCAGTAGATGGCGTTGAACGAGCCTGCGAATAATTTGCGTCCACATCAGACATAAAATGCAAAAGTCACGTAATGTGTAGACATGATGGCTCAGAAGTGGCAACTTCTCTTTAGATTTGTTAAAATTAGAAAGGCGCTTCCAGCTTCTTTGAAAACACTACCCCTCTACTGTGTCCCACATTTATAACACCACAGAGATACAGACCTGATGGTTCTGTAACTGTGGGGTGAGCCTGAATACTCTGGACAAACACATTAAAAGCAGCGCAAGGTCTCCGTTTGTGTCCATTTTTAGCCACTGGTGCAATAAATGATCTGGAAAAACAAGCAAAGGCCTTCTCTGGCAACTGATCTCTGCTTTTAGATTAACATAGGAGTGAAAATTAGACCAATGACTGGATGCAAAGTCTGCAAAGTAACAGGATTTAGCACCTTGCAAAAGTCTGAAATCCAAATTTTAAAGTGTTTTGTTGGGATTTTGCTTGATGGACAAACAGTGGTGCGTAATTGTGAATTGGGTTTCAAGTTTATGACTTTAAATAATCCGAATAATCCAGGTGCAGAAGCAACAGGTGTAACTTCAACCTTGAGAAGATTGTTTTCTTTTTTTTTGAAGACTTCTTTTAGCATCTTGTGGTCTGCTTTCAGCACAAGCTTCATTTGAACGTCTCCCTCTTGTAAACCATTTTCTATAGAGTTAAATGATTAATTTAAACATTTTTTTTCGAAACATGTTTAAATTCATTACCAGACTTATAAGGTATTTTAAATCTGAGTTAGGAGAACAACGAACAAACATTGTTAAAATGTCGTTATAACATTGTCTGCATGTACTCCTTACATGACATTGAGTGATTTTAGCCAGGTTAAGAGGAAATGATTGTTTTACAAGTGTGAATCAAAGGTCGAGTCAAGAGTTTTTAATATATGGTAGCCTGAAAAAGTATATTGGTCAGTCGTTCCACTAAATTTTAAGGGACATGCTTTACAAATCAAGAATTTTCAGCTGCAAATTTGTTTTTTTTGTCTTACCTGGTTTCTTACAATGAAATAAAACCACTTTACTGAAGACCCTACGTAAAGTAGTCCTGCCATATTTCTAAGTGCAGTACAAACTTTGGCTCAGTTTAGTTTTAATGCTGAAAACAAGAGGAAAGAGAGCCAACTTGGACTAAAGCTAAACCAAACATCCAGCTGATCTAAAACTTACTAAAAAGTAAAAATGAAATGTTGAAACTTTTCAAAACCTCAGTGTCCAGCAAATATCCTCACACAAGCTGTGGGCTTCTCGCTTTATTGTTCCGGTCAGATGACAAAACATGCAAACTAATTTTGAATTGTTTGTAGCTGAATGATTATGACTAAACCAGTGCTGCAAATAATCTTCTTCCTCAGCAAATTAGTGAAGGAATAAAAAAAGAAGCTTTCATTGAAAAAAGTCAACCATAAGCAAAGAAAAAAAAAAACATGTTTGTAGATGAACATTCTTAAGTTTCTATATGATCTCTCACTCTGCTCAACTGCTTTGTTTTAGTAGTGAAATGATAAAATTCCAACAATTTTCAAAAACACAAAAAGAGGATCGGGAAATAAAGGATAATCTGCAAATCAGTAGAATAACAGTCATATAATACAGCTAACGTGTTTATACAGAGAAGGACCAGGGAGTTTGCTGCAAAAACTGACGGAAAACAAACGTGAGAGAATCCAGAAACTATGAAACAATAAGCCGTGGATCTTATCGCCGGGTTGCTGTTCGTGAGCTCGTGTTCAGGACCGGCTCACAGATTTTCCAAAGCAACAAAACGAACGTCGAGCTGTTAGAATAGGCACCGAATTTTTAACATGCCGCACGTCGTGAACAAAATGAATGGATGAGGGCGAACGCTCCGTCTTAATTAGGCTCTGACCTTTATGAACAGTCCGCCCTGAGGCACTGATACATATCTGACGTTCACTTGTGCACCAGAGATAACGGCCGCCTCCTGAAGCGCAACCACCAGACGAGACAAACAGCCTCTGCTGAATGCAAATCCAGCAGATTTGATCAAGTATGAAAAGGAATAAATCATCATCATCATCTCTAATATTACCCTTTGGTTTTTGTTTGGATAAACAATAAAACATGGCTGTGATAATTACCTGCACGGTTCCTCCACACATCAGCAAGAATGTTAAAATTAATCCTGAAAAAACAAAACAAAACAAAACAACTCTTGCATACAAAAATACATCAGATTTAACGTTTCAAAAATAGTCTGTTACCACAGATCTTTACGTACATGAATGCATCTTAATGTAGTTTATTTCATAGAATTGAATTCAGAAGGTGAAACTCCTTTTCTTTGCACTAATATATTTAAAGTGTTTATTTCTTTTCATTTTGATGGTTGTGACTTTCAGTTTAAGAAAATAATAATCAGAAAACGTAAATATTACATACAGTCAAGGAAAAAAAAAAGAAAACAGATATCTTATGGTCACTACATAGATTTCCACAATCATAGAGAATAAAAAAACAGTGTCTGACTGATCATATCGCAATGTATCCAAGCCTCTCAATGGAAAGTTAGGTGGAAGGAAGAACTGTGAAAAAGTGCACAAATCAACTGGAATTTACTCTTTGTACTGAACCATAGGCAACATCAGAAATGTCTTATCTGCTCAAAAAAAAGGATATGTGTAACCGAGTCATTACTTCTCCCCCAGCCAACCCGAGCCTCCAGCAGATCCAGGACCTCCGCATTATGGTGCACTAATTCAGTAATTCATACAAAAGGAGCCCTGACTTTTCACTGCAGTGACATTTCTGCATTAAAAATCAATTTCCACCACACTTTAATTTTCTGAAGAACTTAGTGTTGTAATAGCTGCTAATTAAATCCATCAACATTTACAGAAATAAACACTTGAAATATAACGCAGTGTGTAATGAATAATAAGTGAATGACTGAAACAGATTCACTGTTCAAATATATTGTAATTCACTGAGCCGAACCTCGCTGCTCTATGACAGATAAAACATCTCAGACGCACAGCTGAAATTACGACAAGTTCACTAAACAAAGTGGCTGCTATCGCGGTGCCAGCTGCATGGAGACGAGACTCTGCAATGCAGGAAGGGAACAGCAGAGATCGTAAAGCATGAAGCGACCGTTTTGTGTTTATTTGTGTGTGTGGGTGAGTGAACCTTCAGCCATATTGCTTCGTACAGAGAGAAAACAGCTTGATGTGCAGCTGCTGCATGCAGGGATGTTGAACAAGTTCCCAGTCTGTTCAGGCAGTCGCTCTTCGTCTCCCTCTCATGACTCCATCCAGCCTCCTGAAATCGACCCTGAAAAGTGCCGTTCAACGACCCCCCCCTTCTACTGCGATGGGTTTTCTGCTGTTACGATGCACTGACGACTATTAAGTTACAAAGTATTTGCAGTTTGACACTGACAGGAGAGCGGAGCGAAGGGAGGCGATTTTTGAAGAGGAGGAGGAACGGATGGTCTGAAGTCACAAGGAGAAGAGGCGAGACCCTTTGTCGTCGTCCTCGTCCTGCCCCTCCGGGATGCGGGGCAGCATGGCCGAGCGGGTCAAACCCCAAAAGCGAGGTGGAGACAAGTCCTTCTTGGTGGCTGTGAACTTCCAGCCCATGTGAGAGCCGCAGGTCCGGCACTGAGCGATGGTCCAGGCGTACCTGAGAGGAAAGAGAAGTTAAACAATAAATGGTCATTTGTGTGTTGTGTAATGTTCCTAGAAATCTTTTTCATTTTAAAAATATATCCTTTTCCAAAGTGATTTCAGTTGTAAATATTCTCATATATGTACAAAAACTCACAAGACAATTGAATGAGAAATAAAATTTGAAAATACATGTTTGTTATTGTTCTTCCATCTTTATCCAGTCCTGGAATCAGAATTAAACATGAAGCATCAGATTATCTTAGTGGTCAAAAGGAAAACACACCTGAGAAGCTAAAAGTCGATCAAAAAAATTTTTTTAAAGATATTCTGCATAAAAAGCAGGTGGCTCAGTCCAGATCTGAGGTCCTTACACTAAGAAGCTTCCAGTACGTTGCATTAACGCTCCCAACAAGACTAAAACTATTTTTATTTGATGTCGCATACGCTTCACCTTGTTGTTTTTTTTTTGTTTTTTACTTTATTTTAAAATCTGTGTAATCTAAATATGTTTCAGTTTGTTTTATCTTAATGTATGTTGCTGTTAACTTCAACAGATAAGCACTTTTAGTTGCTTTTGCTCATAAGGTGCAAAGGAAATAAGGTTAAAATACCATAATAAGAACATAATTTCACAAGAAAGCTTGTCTTTACTCTAATCCCACTGACTCAAATCGCCTCAAGAGCCTGTGTCCATTTTTAGAAATCTTCACTGAGTTTCTGTTTGGTCATGTACACCTTTCTTTTAGTTTTACACACCACTAAAGGAGAGGGAGTGTTATTTTGACTCCTCAAAGTCTCAGTCAGGATGTTTTGGTTCTAAGCTCATTACAAAAGATATGTGCAGCTCTGTGTGAATAAATCCCAGTCCAAAATCTAAATCATTGGGTCTAACTCATTTAACTTTTAAAAGTACACTCAGCAGAGTTCATCTAGAGTGAAAATGAATTATTCAATAATTCAATCACACTAGCAAAGGACAAACTCAATGTCTCCATGTCTTTTAATTCCCAAACTCCCTACTGAGACCTGCTCAAAAAATGCACTTAATTCTGAGCAGACCAACAAATGCAGATCATCTCGAAGAAATGGTGAAGAAAAAGAGAGCAAGAGTGACTCTGCTCTGCTGCCTTTACACAGACAAGGCAGGGTTGTTATATTTTTAAAGTAAATCAAAAACATTTTGCTCCTCTGCAGCAGCACATTTGATCCATTTACAACTCCGTGAAGGTTTTACAGTTTATGCAGCGCCTCCACCTCCCCAAGAGCTGAAGCTCCATCTTTGTGTTTGTCGCAGAAGAAGAAGCTACTGAACACAGTGAGATTTACCCTGGAAACCAGCTGTGCAGAGTGGAGGGCCTGCCGACCAGGTTCAGGTTGCTGGCTTTGTAGACAGTCAGCGTCTCATGAACGTAGCCGTGAGGGTTGACGTATGCCGCCATGGGGCCGTACAACGACAAGCTGGTGGAGGAGAAGCAGGCAACAAGTCATTGGCTGAGAAACTCACTGAAGACTTGAAAAATAATGAAACTGAAATATAAGCGTTAATTCTGCTGTGTCTGAGTGCAGCAGACTGCATGGCTGCTTTCAGTCACATGTTGTAAACTATCATGCATTCAAACTTAAACTGGGCTTTCCTTTTTAAGTCCAGTTATGATTAAGTAACAGGCTTTAAAGGTCAAAAGCATTATATAATGCCTATGATTTTGTTAACATATTTTGTTAACAAAATCCTAATTTGTTGTGTTAATTCAAAAATAAGACAATAAAACTAGAAACATTTTCAGTGCTGCAAATATATAATTTCAGATACTTTGATGCGACTTTTTGGATCAAATATGAGACGTTCAAGCTTTTTCTTTTCCTCTTTTTTTTCAGAAACATCACTGCTGTCAAGATTTTCCAAGAAAACATAATTACGTCATATGTAATTATGTTTTTCTTAGAGTCCTAATTGAAAAGGCATCAGCAGGATACAGTTATTATTTCTGAATGCATCACAGATCTCGCAGCACACATAATCGCTGGTTAACTCTGATAATCTTGGTAACTAAACCACACTTTTGTCTGGAAAAATATCCATCGTGGCTCTGGACAATTTCCCGCGTCTTCAGCGTCTTTGTGTTTTGCTGCTGAACAAAGAGGCGACCCAAAACACATCACAGGCGGCTGGAAAATGACATTAAATAACAGAGACTGTCGGTGTGGAGGCGCCATGTTTACTCATGAATCTATACAACTTCCAGGCAGACGAGCCTCAACCACAATGTGTTTGTAATGGCAGTAATTACAGAGGACAAAAGGTTTGCTTTATTCTGCTTTTTTTTATACTTTTTGTGTGAATAAATGTACAAATCGAAGTACATTTGCACTTTTTAAGAGCCTTGTAAGATCATCTAGACCTCAAACTTTTGCACATTTTGTAAAACAACAAAACATAGAAGAATTTTAAGTGATATATTGATAACGGCTTAATAATACAAAGTTACTGTTAGCTGCTCTTCACATCCAAAGCCTCTTCGTCTGGCCGGTCAGCTTGACTGGATGAACATTTTTTGGTAAATCTGCCTTTGTTCTGGACTTTTTAGTGTCTGAGATTTTCAAAGGAAAACTTCTGATTTCAAAGACATTATTGTGACACTGAGAAATAGAAATCATTGTCAAACTGACCTAAGACAAGAAAAGTTTAGTCTGATTTTAACTTCAGACAACAAGAATTAAAGGCGTATGTGTCTTTTTATTCAGTGTGTGTAAACCTCTGGTTTCAACTGTATTCATTTCATTCAAAGCACTAGAACTGTTTTATTTAACATCTTATTTCAGTCTCTTGACTCCTTTATGGAGATGGGGTTGCATTTCGGGCCTTATTTTTATGGATTTCTCTTATAATTTTGATATTTAAATTGAAAGAAGTCACAGCAAAATAAATCCTCACCTGAAGATCTCGTTCTTTGTTGTAATTTCTGTGTCTTGACACTGCTTACAGCACAACGACGTACACTGAAGAGGAGACATAATACCAAGTTAACAGGCAATACGCGTCAAACGTTACCTCTGATGAAGATTGATCGATGGCCGATGAACAAAGCTGTAAAATTCATCTTAAACCTCCAGCCTTCAAGAAGAGAAACTCAGGTGAAAGCAAGTTTTTACATAAACCTGAACACATCCACCTTACAATTAAACAGAGTTGCCCTCTATTTAGAATATGTTGAAAGTGTTACTTTACCTTTTTTATGTTTCAAAAAGAGGATATGACCCTATTGGTGTTGTATCAAGTCAATGATAAACCTTTGCTATGACAGGCCATAATAACCTTAGCCGCCATTAGCGAATAATATCTACTTAGAATCATCACTTGATCAGGACAGGAATGTGTAAATGTGGAGGCGACTGAATTGATGAGAAGTAACTTTGCTACAAAATGTTCTGCAGAGCTGATAAATTACTGAAGTGAATCATGCAGAACATTTGAATGTTTGTACCAACATGGAGGAACCAATAGACATTCCTGTCCTAACTCGCTCTGACACGAATACGGGGCTTAAACATACAGAATAACCAGGATGACAAAGACCAGACTGCATTGTAATGTGTAACGTAATCACGTGAAGAAAGGCTGGGGTGACTTACTCAGAAACAAGCAGTGTGTTCACCTTTCACCCCAAACACAAAAAGCATCCCTCTGCCATATTTTCCAGCTGTTAAAATCAACTCAAGCAACATTTACTTTTCTTTCATAGTAGATCAACTCTGGAATGAATTTTTGTAGCAACAAAATGTCTGCCGGCTGAATCCGCCCCTGGAACTGGATCCCATCATGAGGAAAATGATGTCGCAGCAGAGGGACATCATTTGCTTACCCGGTCCATGATGTCCAGCTCGCAGCGGAGTCTCTGGATGGCGCTGCCGATCTTGAGCAGCTGGAGTCGCAGAGCGTCGTCTATGGGGAGACAGGCCGCCACCCTGTAGGAGAAGTCTGACACAAACCAGACAGAAGCAGAGGAGATGGATGAAATAAACAGGAGAGAGCCAAGCGAGCACCAACAGGAGCCAAACACGCACGGACGTGCATGATCGATGAGCGGCGAACCGGAGAGTGGCTGACCTACGGCGTTTGTTGGGAGCGAGTCATCCTTCAGGTTCTCGTCCCATTCGTGGAGCTGCTTCTTCACTCTGTTCATGAGCGACTCCTGCGAGGTTGAGACACGGGAACAAAGGCTCACATTCAGTCCTGTGAGATGTTCTGTAGTGAATAATGGGCTAAAGTGTTGTACAAGTGGACTGCAGCACTCACAGAGTCGTAGAGAGAGTAGACCCAGGGAGGCCATGGAGTCAGGCTGGCACAGTGAAACTTCCTCTGTAAACACAATATTTCGCAACACTGTTGAACAGATGTTTAAAATTTCTTTTACATGTAAAAAAAAAAAAAAAAATCTGAAAAGTGTCGTTTGCTTTTAGGGCTGGACAATAAGCAAATAACAATACGACATGTTAACAACAGACATGTTATCATTGACAAAAGATAATACGTCCGATAGGATGCTCAGTAATTTCACCGAGCTCTGAGCCAGAACCGCACAGCATTCTGGGGAATGTAGGCAGAGGGGAGACTTTAGCTGCTCAGCTTCTCACGGCTGGTTTGACAAAGTTAGTGGCATCTTCTCACTGACTCACTCATTGTTTGGTTACCTAGCAACAACCTGCCCAGTAACTCGTGGTTACCTAGCAACTACCTGCCCAGTCACTCGTGGTTGCCTAGCAACAACTTGTTGAGTACACAGCAGCAGTTTAAGGTTTTACCATCGTGCCTCATAACTGCTTAAAAAAAACAAAAAAAACAATGTGGAGTAAAAACTGTGGCGAAAACAGGAGAGTTCACATCACTTCTTCTGAAATATGAAATATCTGAAGTCGCCAGTATTTCAGATATTAAAAAAAAAAAAACTAATCAATAGTTATTGATATCAACTTATATTGTGACATGTTTTTCAGCCACATCATCCACTTCAAAGTGTTTTTCTGTTTAGTCGCCCTTTACTCTGCATTAACACAGGTATATACTGGAACTGGTGTATTACTGTATACTGTGCTCCCTCAACTCCAGTTATTCTGTTATCCAAACTATGACTCTTTCAGTCTGAGAGTTAAATTTAACTCTCCTGGCTGTGGTACGAAGTGAGGCGTACATATTTATCTGTTCGTGGAGAAGAGTCTGACCTGCTGGCTCAACCAGCGCTGGGCCTGTTTACAGCTCTGAGCTCTGAGTTTGGAGGAGGGGGACGTGTGGAGCCTTGAAAGGGGCGACAGCTGCACAGCAGAGAGCGGGTCTGGAAGGATCCGTTCGGGCAGGATCTGCACTTTGGCCTGTCTGATTCTGAGAGACACAGAAGGGAGGTGATGAATCGCAGCACAAACATATGATGTCTTGAGTAAATGTTAGGAAGTGTATGACAGGAAGTATGTAAAAAGTGAAAGCTTCTGCAAGAAGGAAGCCAGCAAAGAGCAATAAAACTTACATAACTGTTGCAAAATAAATTTAATACAGATTAAACAAATGTTTCTTCTCAGGAGGAGAACTTAAAGCACAAGATAAAAAGGTTAATTAAAGTGAGCAATAGTTTAAGTGCCCTAATTTCTGGAGATATCGCTACAATAGGATCTCATAATAAGATTATGGCCAACAATTGATATGTATTATATAATCGTAAGTAAAAAGATGGAGATGTGCCTTAATAAGAGCTTGCTTATATGGAAAGAAAATCTCAATGATTTCCTGGGCAGAGGAGGATGGTAGTTAAAATGATGTATTTCATGGGTCCAGCAGTGACGTAAAAAGCCTTAATTCAGAAACACTTCCTTCATTCATAAACAAACAGCCCTTCATTACAAACTGGGACAACAGAAAATATGTTAATGACATAAAAAGTACAATATATTCATGTTTTATCAACCAACTATGTGTTTATTTACCCAAGTTAAAAGGATTAAAGATAAAGCCTTGAAAAAGGAAAATATGTTATTAACGCAAGACATATTGTATCTTCTTCAAGATCTCCATTATGTCGTTCAAAGCAAACTAATAAATTACTGAAAAAAACACAAAACTTTTCACAAAATTTTGTCCAACTACAATCAACAGGAACAGCAAATAATTTGGTTAAAGCTTGACCAAATTGATCAAGTCACATAAAAAGAGAGTAAATAAGCTAGTCAGCCTTAACTTCAGGAAGCTGCTCTCCATTACATAAAATTTAAAAAAATCAGCAGAAGAAAGACATGAGTTTATTGAAGGCACCATGGTGTGTGTGTGTGTGTGTGTGTGTGTGTGTAGGTGTGTGTGTGCGTGCGTGTGTGTGTAGGTGTGTGTGTGTCAAAAAATGAGAAAGAAATTTTTCTCATGTCCAAGTCAGAATTTAAGCCTCTTAATTACAGTCCAAGTCAAATTTTTTGAAGAACAAAAGAGGCAGTGCTTTTATTTTGATAAGCCAAAAGTGTTTTTGTCACACAGTTAGCTGAACAGCAAGCTAATGAGATGCTGGAAGCCATTTAAGTTTATGTTGTCCAGAAATTTCGCAGTTATTAAAATACTGTGTTCAGATGGAGAGATATCTGTGTGCTCAAAGAAACCTTCAACAACCCACAATCCATGAACAATAAGGGAAGTAAATTATCTGCCTCTTTTACTGCAAAACATGCATTAAAGCATATATTTATTAAAGTGTGTGCAAGTCTGTTTTGAGAGCAGTAAAACATTACTGCTCTATCTGCACTCCTACAGAATTTCCTCATGTTGGATTTAATATGTTGGGGTTAGATTGCCCTCTAGCTGTGAACTTCTAGAGTCAAATAAATCAAGATTCAGAAAAGTTAAAACCTATATTGTTTTCTTATTGAGGTAATAGCTTTAAGGTGATTAATATTAAGTTTCATGCTGGATTTAGGGTTTCAGTGTCTACTCAGGGACTTCTTAGCCTTCTTAATCTCAGTAATCTGATAACTCCTGGATGAACATTTACAACCTGTCCATGAATACACAAAGTAGATTCTGTTGTCTCTACTGAGGTGAGAAGTGAAAAGAAGTATTCAGTCCCAGACCTTTGCTTTCTCACTTCCTGGGACCAAATAAACGTACCCGTCTGCTTGAGTTCTGATCTCATGGACCTTAAATCTCTGCCTGCCAACAGCTTTCACTTTCACAGTTTCGATGCCGTACTCCTGCTCCTCTCGGTATGCATATATTTCAGCCGTTGTTCCAAACTCCGCCGCCGGCTCGCTCGCATCACTGCAAACACATGCAGAAGCTCTGAAGCACTGGTGGCATAGAACAACTTAAAAGATTACAGCAACATCTACAAAGACACAGCTCCTCTGACAAAGACAAAACATGGGTGTCAGGAATGTTGTATTTTTGTGTTGTACCTGTGCGCCAGCACGGCAAAGGTTCTGTCTTTCTGGATGACGCTGCGCATCATGCTGACCTCCTGCGGCCTGAAGAGCTGCAGGGGCAGCGTCTGACCCGGTACCAGCATCACGGTTGTGTGAGGGAGCACAGGGATGGTCTGGCAGCTGTCATCATCATGCACCGTGCGGCCGTGAAACTCCTCCATGTCTGAACCCAGGTACTGTAATCAAAACAACAAAGGTATTGTTAAAAAAAAAACAAGACAACAGATGAATGAATACAATGTAGGTGGAAAAGCAAAAACTAGCCAGATTAAGCAGATTAATATTGTGAAATGTTGGTTGTAGAAAGAAAGAAAGTCCATCGTGGACAAATATAATGATTCCTCAACCATAAAACTTTCCTCAGATTTTCAGATATCTTAAGCTGAAAAGCTTAAGGTATCTGATAACAGGGTTGCTATTTTGGATATTTAAGATCTCAATTCAGGGAAGCATTAATGCTGATTTGTTACTACTGATATAAATACAGTCATTGTAGGAAAGACCAGCGATTTGTTCACATTTTATAAAACGTTGTCATAACAGATTGCTCACAGCATGAGACGTGGGAAGACTGGGGTCAAAGGTGATGGTGCTGGGTTTTTCCGCCTCGTCACTGTCTCGGTCCTCAGTCTCCATATCATTTTCCTCTTCTTCCTCATTGTCTGTCGCGGCACAAGTCAGTGAAGACACAGAGAGACGGGTTAGTGCTCCTTCCGCATCCCAACACCACAGCGGCTCAAAACTCTAGCTGGACCCAAACGGGCTGCTTTACAAATGTCAACAGAGACAGAAAGCGAAAGCTAAAATGGACCAGAGCGGCCTTTGTTGCGGCTATCTGCGCGGCTTGTCAGGAGGAGGACACGGACTGTCCCCTGCTGACCCCGTGAGACATGTCTCTGCCGCTGCCTGTTACCTGGTAACAGCTGCAGATGGTTCCCCATGTTGTTGTTAACGTTGTCTCCTCCGCCTCCCTCGTCAGCCATATCTCTGTGTTTACAAAGCCAGTTCTTCTTCTATGGCGTCTTCTATGTGCTGGGCCCAGGTGAAGGCAAGAGCGCCATCTGGTGACCAGGCGGTTTGAACATTTTTTTTCTTTTAAATTAAAAAAATATATATATTTTTTTATCTTTGGGTTACAAAAGTCAAAAAATACATTTAAAAAAAATCAGAAACAATAGGACATTTTTAAGTTAGAAATTTGCTGTAGTGTACTTGAGAAAACACTTCTGACCCACACCTACAGGTAATGTCATCCCAAAACTGACTGGAAAATTCAGTGGACCTCAAGCAGTATGGACTCTGTACCTCTCTGGGACCTTCCTTTGTAAATGAAATACAAATAGGACCCTGGAGAGTCAACATTGTCCCTCAGCGCATTTTTAACCCTATGGAGGATTTCTCAATGCATAGCAGCTCTTGATACATTGACTTCAACTTATAAAACAGGTTCCAATTGAATGGCTTTTGCTTGAAAATATTGTCAAGGTTTGCTGAACCTTTATGAACTCAAGTGCCTCTGATAAACTTCTAGCCATAAATGATTGTCCTGATCCAACCAGACCAGTTTAGAGGCCCAGGAAACCGAAGACTGGTGAAATGGTTGGGGTCAACACCCTCCGACTTAACTATATCGTTTTTACAATAAAACTGCCTTATTTCATTTTGTAATAAATGTTTTTACTTCCTAGTTCAATTTGTTGATGCACCTTCACTATTTTGACAATTCCAGTTTCATCAAGCTTTCACTCCCCCTCAAGAGGGCTAACTTAAGTGGAATAATTTAATTTCTTTGAGGCCAAATATTGACAGAAGAGGCTGAACTGTTTGGAAACTTAACAGTGTTCATTTATTGTTCAATACACCACATGACAGTTTGGAAAACAAGTTGTATTATGGTCCATGAACAACGCAGCTGCACTTCTGATATCCTTCCAGTATCTTTGCCTTCCTCCAGTTACGCATCCACAGCTTGGCCAGGTGTAAGTCGTCCTCTGATGGAAAAATCAGGACTTGGCCACAATTTCAGTAGATGCTCCAAGCAATCCACTCTTTGGAGGAATGGGGTTGTAGATCTGGAGAAACTCAGATGGATCACAGCTGGCAGGGATGAGGGCTTACTTTGACCTCTGCCTCATCTTTCTCCTTTTACGCTTCAGCCTGTTGGAAATAAAACGGCAGCTTTGAGAAAAACGTCCAGCTAACTCAAAATAAACCCATTGACTCAAAGTGCTGCTTCCTCTGAATCTCAACTAGCTCTAGTAGATCTTTGGTGAAATTATTTATCTACTTAGCTACTGTAAGGAAAAGCCTCACTACTGAACTCATTTTCTGCAAGGCTCAAGTTCAGGGATCACCAATTGCCAAAATTTACCAATAGAAATTGTCAAGCAAGTAAAAATCTCAGTGGAAATGGGATTCAGTATCAAACCAATGTGACAAGAAACAAAACAGCAACATGTGAATGGGATGGGGGTGTATGAAAGTCAATTTCCAAAAACAAAAAACTGTCCCATTAATCTGTTCTGAATTAGTCATTGTGAAAACTCAAATCACTGAAGTTAAATTTGTATTTAAACTACCAAATTGTCTGAGCACATCAACATTTTTAACTTCCTAAAAATAATCTTAAATGAGCCACTGATACTCTAATTTGTGTTCAGTCAAGTACACAAAGTCCTAGCTGGGCTTTAAAACTGACTAGATTTAAGCTCAAATGCTAATTATTTGCATTAGAGCTCCCAAATGCTTAGACTTCATTCAGTAAAATGTACCTACAGTTCACTTGGATAAAACATTGATGCATAAAGAGCTTTTCATGCTACAATAATCTCAACTGCTGTTTTTTTGTTATCCAAAAGCATAGCCTGAATGTTAGGCTGAATAAAAGATCTAAGCAATTAGCATCAACTCCAACCTTACAGTTTCATATAAATCATTGAAAAGTTGTAGAAATTATTCCATGGTGTGATCAATAGTGCTTTAGTCCATTTTCAATGTGCTTTGATGCATCTTGAGCAACTTTAAAATTCACCGACTTGGTTAATTTGTAACCTACATGTGTTAATTTTATTTAGATTTTTTTTAAAGTAAATGCATATAAAGTAGACTGCACGTGCTTAGCTTTAGCTACCACAGTAAGCTAACCCATAAAAAACCCTATGACGATATACATTTTTAAAAATTGTAAAATAATTTAATAAATCACTGTAGGTGGCCTGCAGTGGGTGCTTACCTGCGCATACGCTTCTTCCTCCACTAGAAGAGAAAAATAAAGTTTAAATCTTAAACATTTGTTACTTAAACATCAGCTTGGAAATGAAGACAGAGTGCTTCTAATGACATATTACAGGCTCAACTTAAAAGTCTCACTATTGCAACACAAAAAAACAAAAACACATGGCATCAATGGAGGCACTGGTTTGCTTTCGCTAACGGTAGCACGCAAAGCAGCGCAGCAGGCCTTCTTTCAAATAAATATCCGTGGGGTGGAATTACTTCACTTTGAACCATTACAGGTAAATAACCATCACACATTCAGCATAAGTTAAGGTTAAATTATCCTGCTCGTCAATAGGGTATGAATAAGAAGCGAGGGCGCACGAGCTAAGATACAAGCTAGCAGCCTAGCAACGCGAGCGGAAAACAAACGCCTAAAATACAGAAACTGAATTCCTTATCTTACCTTGGCTCTCATCGTGTGGAGACTTTTCTGTAAAAATGACACAAATAACTGGTTAGCAACTGCAGATGGTTTGTAAATGTCAAAGATTAACTTGGATTTCGATCGCGGTGAGATGTGCCGCCGTACCTCAAAGCGAGAAGAGCAACGGAAAGAGGATGTGACGACGAAGGGCCGCGACTTTTATAAACTTATGACGTCACTTCAGACTGGCGCAGGGCGCATCGGGAAATGTAGGGTGTGTCCAACAAAGTTCTGTGCCTACATCCTTTGGAGGTCGCATTTGAAGTGTGATTAGTCAAAACGATACAACGAAGGCTCCTTTAAAAGTTCGTCGTTCTTTCCCCCAGCTTTGAAGGTCGAAGGGTGAATCCTTCGCTGGCCATCGTATCCCAGGATTCATTGCGGGACAAACGGGAGATTTTTTTTGGCGGATGAAGTACGAGCGGGAAAGGAGAGAGAGAACGATAGTTTTAGTATTAAGTATCTGTTATCAATGATGATAGGACTGTCTTTGATAACAAATTACTAACTGTACAGACAAAAAAAAGTAGTAATAACTTAATAAGAAACATTAAACTTTTCCATTATTAACCATGAGAAGAAAACATTTATTTGTAAGTCCTATCTAAAGAAAAAATAATGACCTAATATCTTTCTTTTTCATTCTCTCTAAAAGTAAAACAAATTAATTACAAAATTGCTGAATGACTTTCTCTTGAATTTTTTATTTTTTTTATTTTCAAACAAATTTCAGCATTAGCAACAATTCACGACTCAATTACTGTGACAATATTCACTGTAGTGCTATAAAGACCATTTGGAATGATCTACAAAACTGGATCTGGTATAAACAACCTATTTCATGTAACTTCTGATATGTTAAAATGTACTTTGCAATAGGCAACGAAGAATCAAATTATGGTATTATAAATTTAATTCTCCTGGTCACTTCAAGTATTGATTTTTAAAGATCTCTCCTGTTTTCAGCCTTTTGCTCAGTGAAATAATTTGCTTCAAAAATGTTAACTTGTAAAGATTTATCTTTACTTTGTATTTTGAATATTTTTCTAATTTTCTCTTCAGTTATACAAGTTGAATTGTTCTTTGTTGTAAAGTGTGCCTTCTTCTGTTTTGAGTCTTTAAATGTTTACAGGTTGAGATATGCTATATATTTGAGAGAATCACATGCAGGGAGCGATTTTGTTTCTTTTACAAGCTTTTAGGAATTACCGGTACCTGTTAACTTTAGCAAGTTTCACTTTAGATCATTTCTGCAAGCAAATAACTGGTGGTGAAGTTTATACATTTTTTAGAGTGTAACTGGTATAATACATAGAAATCTTTTATATTAAAATGTATTTTTTCTCATTAATATTACAAACTTTGTGTACAGACTCAAAGGGGTAAAAAAATCACCTATTATCCAAACATTTCATGTTGCAGTGTTAAGCAGTCTTCGGTATCATTTAATCTGTGTAAAACTATTTATTATATAACCTGAGGGTGAACAAAACAAAAACAAAACAAAGAAAACCAGATGTGTATGAAAACATTTTATTCCATCTCCATAGGTGTAAAGTTTCTTGCCCAGTGGTTGAGCTTGAAAAAGCAGCATTGTGCTTTTCTCCCAACGTTTTTCATTGTGGACAAATACCGACCAACACTTCTCTCAGACCTCAAAAATGGAAACTGACATGAAATGATCGTTCAGCTGTCTCGACTGAAGACTCGTCTTCAGACAAGTTTTCCAAAACTTTAAACAGCTTTAGTCTCCATGATTCATAAGACTAAAGTGTGTTACAGGTGTAAATGGTAGAAAAGTTTTCAGTTTTTAAACTAGATCACAAAGTATAGATGTTTATTTTCACCATAAAAAGGGGAATGGCAGTAAATGTAGCAGATTGTTCCCTAAAGTCATGTTTGTTTCCACCTCCTTTTCTTGTATACCCAAAATATTCTCTGTTCAACTTTTTAAAATCTAGGGATTAAAACATCAAAGAAAAATATGGCCATAATAAAAATATAAATGTTTATTTTAGTATTTAATCCTTTACTGCATAATATTGGCAAGGAAAATAATTCAGGTTGACTCCAGTTTTTGATGTTTTAAATGTGTTTGTAAACTAGAAACAAGAGGAGATGCATTAAAATTACTTTGCTGCAAAAACAACCAACATGAGCTTATTTTCTAACTAATAAATCAAAAAGAAATTCTCAAAAACTTAAGTATTAAACATGTTTAAAACTCAGTCTGGTGATTTTCATACAAAAACAAAAAGGCAAAACTGCATGAAAAAAACAAACAAAAAAAAAACAAAAAGAAAAACACGTATGATGCACATTTTGAGAAAAAAAAAATTCATGCTTTTTTTTCCCTCCATTCCTCGACCAAATTAGGGAAGAATAGGAAACATTTCTCCAGTGATTTTATCAATTAATAAAGCAAAGGGTTAAGCCAAATATTCATCAAATGTAGGTATTTCTAAATAAACCTATCAGTTTAATTTGCTTGATTGGCAGAGAGCTCCGGAAAACTTGTCGTGTTTTGTCTCCCTTGTCTTTGGGGTCTTGCATGTGTGGAAAGGCAGTTTTGTTTATTCTGGTGCTTCTGTGTCCTCAGTCGGCTGTCCAGTTGCGTTTTCTGCCGTCTTTGACGCCTGGAAGACATGAAAAGGTTAAAGTTATATGGAAACTGTCCATATAACTAGTTAACTGTCCTGTTCAGCTGAAAGTGGCAAAAAGCAACACGGTGCCAGAATTTACTGCGCATCACAGCACAAGTTACCTTCTTTTTCTTCTTCTTTTGTGTTTTACGGCTTGCAGAGCTCTGTAGTAAAGCCTTGAGAAGGGAGAAGAGACTCAGGATGCATGATGTTGATTTTTGAGAAGTTAAAACATTCATAACTTAGTTCAGACTCACCTTGAGCTCTGGATCCTGAACTTCGTGCTCCGACTTGTAGAGCTCCGGATCGAAGGGTCCATTTGTGATTCTATGAGGCCCGTTGGCCATCAGCAGCACTGTGAACTTGAACTGGGCAACAAACTCTCCTGGAGGGAAAAAAAAAAAAGTAGAGGTAGTAAAGATGTGTCTTAAAATTCAAATATTGTTAAAATTGGAATTTATTTAAGTGATTTATGTCAGGAGGAAAAACATGTATAGATTCTTTATACACTAAGTGATTCATCTCAGACATTTACTTGTATTAATATTGATTATAGCTTAAAAGTTGAAGCAAAACCTCAACTTTAATTTCTCTGGAAATATGGACTTCAATCATGATCAATAAGTCAATAAGAACTACACAATCATGGAGGAGACTGGCTGCTCATATTAATGAAAAGTTGAGTGGAGGGAAAAACAATCTGGTAGAATAAGGCGCTGAAGCAACAGAGATAACTTAAGAAAATCAGACACACCAAACCAACAATGAAGACAACTTGAAGGCTGCTATTGAAACAGCCACAAGCCGATTAGTCTCCAAGCTGTGATCAAGTATCTCAAGCACTGAGTATTACTTTAGTCATTCATTGGCTAACATTTCTGTACTGAAAGTTTTATTTTCATTGGTCTCATGTATTTGTCTGATTTTCTGAGAAACAATGATGGGTTTTTATTAGCTGTAAGATATAACAATTAAAAATAAACACTTAAAATAGCGTTTGATTCTGTGTGCTATTGATCGATGTAACTGATTTGTGATTTTGTAATTTTCTGGGATGCAGCTCTACACCTAACAGAAGGTAAGATACTCACCTTCCTTCTCATGCAGAACACTGAAGGGCTGCAGCAGCTCATGCTTGGCACACTCGACCACCCCAAGACGAGCTTTAGCCTCATCCTCAAAAGCCCTGGTTAAAGAATCGATGGCGTTTATTAACCTGCTGCACACGTAGCACTTCAGACAGGTGGCGGCGGTAAAGGGGACATAGTGCTTCCTAACCTTAATGTGAAGGGCATGGCGTCAAAGCGTCGCTCCACTTCGCTGAAGAACGTACGAGAAGTCTTCATTTTCAAGCCGTACTGTTTGTTGGGGTCCCGCTTATAGATGGTGGTCCTCAGACCTGAGTCTCTGGCCTGGAGATAAACCAGACATGGAGTTCAACTTTCCCTATCGGTTTCAATGAGAATTAGATAAAGTGGTAAACTAATAAGAATACTGGGTAAGAATGGCTCCAGATGGAAAACGTCAATGCTGAAAGTTTTTTTATTGTCTTTCTAGGGATTAGACTGAAAGTAGCTTTGGCTAAATCTGATGTAAAACATCTCTTGTTGTGAAAAAAACGTGTTTACATCTTGTCTCTGTGATATAATAAGTATTAAAAAATTGTGACAGTGAGTAGGCCTGTCACAATAATCAACGAATCAAGTAATCGCAAAACAAATTAAAACAAACTCAATAATTTCTAATATTCTTATTTATTGTTTTTTTCTTTCTACCAAAAACTGGATGGGAAAAGTCTTCAGTTTGGATTTTTGGTCTCAACTGCATCACTTTTTGAAGAATAATTTTGTTTAATGAGACTTTGTAATTCATTTTATTAGTTTTTTCTGTTGTTTTGTTGATTTATTTTGGATATTTAAAATATCTTCCAGTTCCAGTGTTAAATGTTCATTGGAATTTAAATCTTATTGCTCTTTGAGAATCTATTCTTGCATTATTACCTCTATATTACTGACAAATTGTCTCAAAACAACAATATTATCGTTTATCGTGATAACTGCTGGGATGATTTAATCGTCCAGACACATTAGTTAGTTATTGTGAAAGGCCTGAAAGTGAGGAGCAGACGACTTACCTTCCCTTCTCCAGTGCTGACCAAAACATCGACAGCGTAAACTTCATGTACCTCAAACTCTGCCTTCTCGTGGTCCTTTCTGGAGAATATAATCAGAAAAGAAGAAATATTTGAAGATCTTATCCGTTGCTATAATAATCTTTGTGATCGTTTTCAGAATGGACGACGACAGTACCTTTGCTGGTCTGACGGGTTCTGAATGATTGTTTTCTCTCCGTCTATCACATGCTGCTTTAACTGATGAGACAGCATACCTTAAAACCACAAAATCAAAAGCAGTGAATAATGCTGAACATTGTGGAATGAAACACAGTGCCATGGAAACATCATCTGACAGGTTATGAATGCATAACCGTTTTCCCATTACATGATGACGCAGACACCCACCCTCAATAGGAGAGCATTTAA